CATAAAAATGTAATTATCCCAACTTGCTTGGACCTAAATTGAATCATGGTTCAGTAATTTAATACATCGACCCACGAATCAATCAACAAAAAACTCGATTATCGTGAATTATTCCCCTCAACCTAAATATTGGGGAAAAACGTGATCAAATATTACAAAATATCAGATAAATTAGATTTATCTCTTTGTACATCAATATGTTACAATATGAATGTTTTTATGCCTTCATAATTTTGATTTAATGCCTTCGGAGTTTCCTTTCGTTTCCATATCAAAATTTTATTCGATGTTATAGCGGAAATATAAAAAATAATTATTTAAATTAGCAACTTTTTTAATCTTCATGTCTACGTTGCACATAACTACTCATTAATACCCTCTTTTAAAAACACTTTCCTTTTTTATATCATAAGGTGGCAAACGAGCGAGCGGTTACCTGAAATCGCTGAAATAGCGAAGTGACCATTGCCCATAGACATACGCAATTGCATATGCGTTGCCTACCTTTAATCAACGGAGGAGAGGATGCACAGAAACATTTTCCCTTCCCATGCATCCTCTCATCCGGAAATTCCACTTCCACTTCCCATCCTTTCCTTATAAGAAAAAGCATGGGGCATAAGGAAAGAGGACTTCATAATTAGGCCTCCGGGACGCACTACTACTTCACTACTATATTTTGTTTATCGGAATTTTTTAATATCTTTTTACAACAATTATCAAAATTCTTTACAGCCGTGTGTGGAGGTGATATTGAAGTAGATAACAACGGTCATTTGGAGTCTCCCAACTATCCTGACGACTATCAACCAAACAAACTTTGTATTTGGAGACTTTCTGTGCCACAGGTCAGTAAAACCAACATAATATAATACACACAAAGCATAAAACAGCAGCCGACTGTGAGCATACTGCTAGCTTAATATAAAATCATATTACACTATTCGTCAATAAATATCTAGCGGAAATCTATCAATTAACGTGTTACGCGCGCTCACTGTCGGCGTCTGATTTTATGTTTGTTTAGTAATTATTGATGTTAGAAAACAATATGAAAACGTTTTCGATATTTACATGCAGTCCGATACCAACACATCGGTAAGAATGATAGTATAAAACAGATCATTTCCTTAAACCTGCTAAATATCAAAGCGAATGTAATAAAGCACTCATAATTATCCTACTTCATTTTATCAAATCATGTTTCATATGCGGTTCCCTAAGTTCATTAAAGCCTGTATTCAGATCAATCTACTTGTAGTTTCATACACTATATTGCTTATTCCTTCTAGTACAGTGCCTACAAATTCTTCCTTCATGTCATTTTAAAATTAAAAATAAAAGCAACACTTTCTTTTGTTTTTCTATCCTTTCATCTTGTTTAGATTAAAATGAATCTTTATACAATTATATTATCACACCTATTAAAGAGCTATAATATGACAATTCATTTCACTATTTTTTTAATCTTTAATAGGACTATCAAGTGGCGTTGCGCTTCCATTCATTCGAGGTAGAGAACCATGATACCTGTAACTACGACAAGGTGAAGGTTAGAGACGGCGATTCTATGGATAGTCCGCTCATCGGCATGTTCTGCGGACACAAGATACCGCCTGATATTAGGTAAAATGATATTCGTATTATTATATTCTTAAAAAGTATTACCCTTGGTCTTTCATTCTTTCTCTTTCTGCCACATTCAGTATCTTCAAGTGTTCTCCCTTAATGTTGATTTAACGTCAGGAATCTAAACTTATTCCTTCGTTAGTAACTAATTAAATAAGTGTGTTAAACTTAAAACAAATGTTTTATATGATGAAATATTTACAGATCTACGTCAAACAAGCTGCTGGTAATCTTCGAGTCGGACAGCTCTGTGCAGAAGGCAGGTTTCTCAGCTACGTTTATGAAAGAATTCGACGAGTGCGCGTCCATAGACCACGGCTGCAGCCACTCATGTGTCAACACACTGGGCGGCTACGAGTGTGCCTGTGATATAGGCTATGAACTCCACTCGGATGGCAAGAAATGCGAGAGTTAGTATACACTTAATTCCTATATCGTTTCAGACATTGGAATTCCGAGTTTAAATCCAACCAGACCCATTTACGTACATGTTGGTACTTCGCCTTACTAGGTAAGTTAAGTGTAGATCAACAATTATCATTTGTTTAAAGCCTCAATTTGATCAAGATATAGCTAAGGATTTATTAACTTTTGATGTCAATATTGTTATGTTAAATTTAATCACTTCTAGCTTTTATCGTTTCTAGGGTCTGATGAAGATATGTATATCTCTTTTATTATTCTCCTTGACATAGCTTGTATCAAGCATAGGAGCTGTATCCTCCATTAATTTCTAGATGCGTGTGGTGGTGTGCTGTACGGCCCCAACGGCACTATAACGTCTCCTTCGTTCCCCGACCTGTATCCGCCGTCAAAGAATTGTCTGTGGGAGATAGTGGCGCCCTCGCAGCACCGCATCACGCTCAACTTCACGCATTTTGATCTGGAGGGCACGAATAATATGTATCATCAGGTAAACTCACGAATGACATAATATACGCAGTATTATTGTGATTTTCAATTGTTGCAACACTTTAATTTGCTCGTTCTTTTCAAAGAGAATGAGAAGGATAACAACATTGTCGTCATTCAGGTGTTACGATAGTGGGAACCCACTATTCCGTCATATAATCTGTATTTTTTTGTATCAGGAATGCGAATACGATAGCGTGACCGTGCACTCGCGGCTCGGGGATGAAGTGCTCCGGCGTCACGGTGCCTTCTGCGGCTCCGCGTTACCACCGCCCGTCACCTCGGACGGCAACGTGCTACGCGTGCAGGTAAACTAACGTGACACGGTCTACGACTAACAGTTCACCTTCCAACTAGAGCTAGTGTGTCAATGCAATGTCCATGTCATGTAATATATTAAGGTTACCTATAAGTATAATTTCTACTGGCAGTTTACATCGGACACATCGGTACACCACTCTGGGTTCGCGGCGACGTACTACATGGACGTAGACGAGTGCGCGGAAAATAACGGCGGCTGTCAGCACGAGTGCCGCAATACGCTCGGTGGTTTCGAGTGTGCCTGTCACAGCGGCTTTGCTCTGCACCATAACAGGCGTGACTGTAAGGAGGGCGGCTGCAAGTATGATATAACGCTTCCGCACGGCACTATATTCAGGTATCTAACTCACCTTTGCCTCTTTTTCTCTTGAAGGATTAATTAAAAATCAACAGCCAGCAATTTGATTATGTGGTTATGTCCTTTGCAGACAAAGGCATAAGACACAAAAGCATACTTCCAACAGTCTGTTATTAACTAGACATATTATATGACGAATCAATGTAGTTTTTTTATTAACTGCTACCATATCGACGTCCAGAAGTATTATTTATTAGGTTAACGTCTTCATTTAGACGTATGTCAAACCTCCATCTATTTATTGTTATTACAGTCACATTAGCATCATGAACACTTTGTGACTAACATTTTTAAAATTTTAATTCCAGTCCAAATTATCCTGATACGTATCCATCAAGAAAAGACTGTGTTTGGCAGTTCTCAACCACACCTGGTCATCGCATTAAACTTATCTTTAACGTATTCGAATTGGAGTCACATCAGGTACGTACATACATATAATAATATCCATTTCACAAAGTCCTTTTTATCCCATTCCACAATATTACTGGCAGAAGACATTCATGTTTCTTTTTTTTCGTGTTAGGAATGTACATATGACCACGTGTCAATCTACGATGGAGCGTCTGCGGATGAAAAGACTCTGGGTCGTTTCTGTGGCGCCAAACTCCCACACCCCGTAGTCGCCTCGCAAAACCAGATGTATGTCGTCTTCAAGTCTGATGCCTCCGTGCAGAGGAAGGGATTCCTTGCTACATATTCTACTGGTAAATAGCTAATTTAATAGCAAAATAGTAATTATAACTTGTTACTTAATTGATACTTACAATTAATATCAGGGAAACAACAGCTCATAAATCTAAGCAAGATTATTAGTACAATTGTTATTTATGGACACAAAACCGTTATAAGTTTTGTTTGTCATCTTGCAGAAACGATTTCATATTTTTTTGATCTTCTTTCTAGCTTGTGGAGGCTACCTGTCAGCTACAGAGACAGTGAAGCATCTCTACTCACATGCGCGATACGGACACGACTCTTACGAGTCGCGGGCGAACTGCGACTGGAGTATTGTCGCGCCAATGGGCCATTTTGTGAAGCTAACCTTTTTGACATTCGAGTTGGAGCCAGAAGTCAACTGCGGTTATGACTTTGTGCAAGTTTATGGCGGTCTAGAGGGCAGTGCGGGCGATTACGGCAGTTTCTGTGGGACAAAGGTAAAGAGCGTTCAGCCACTATTTGACAAAAAATATAAAACGCTTGACAAACTCAGCTTATCGCGAATCACACTCATTACAATGAAACGAAAACTTAAGTTTTAAAAATTCTTACCCTAACTTCTTGTTTTGTTACAGACTCCACCGGAGATAGTATCCACAACAGAAGCATTACTCGTAAAATTCCGTACAGATGATTCGATAGTTTTCAAAGGCTTTTCGGCATCTTACCAAGCGGTTAAACCTGAATTGTGGAGCGAAGAGGATAGTTCTGAAGGTGAAATTGAAGAAGAAGATGAACGCATGCCTCCCTTGGTGGTAGGCAGGCGTGGTATGCGAGCTCCTTTACCGAGGTTCGTGAGGCGGCCCACGTGACGGTGGCCGATTAAGAGACATCCGAGACATCGGCGGCCGCATCGCAACAGTAATCGATTCAAATCGGAAAACGGTGCAATGTAATCGATTCTCTTGACAAATAATAATGCTGCCATACTAAAAATTTCTAAACCGCCGACTATTCTGACATTGCAAAGTTTTAAATGGAGAGAAGTGATTGATAAATGAAAACCTTCCGATAATATTTAATGCAAATAGGTTAATTTATTTCATTCCAGTTTGTTTTATTATTTTTTACGAGTTAAGTAAAATTTAGGAAGGTTGATATTGGTCGTATATTTTTGAAATATGTTTCGCATAATAAGGTTTTTCGATTGGTTCATTTGACTGATTTAAAATGTAAATAAATTATTTTTTAATAAAACTTAGGTGTAATACTTAATTCTGATAGCGGTTACCAAAAATACTCAGTCATTTAGATCATAATAATGACATGATTATTATGTGCCATAGCGAATACACTAAAGACCAAAGAAACTTTTTTCGTTACATTTATCTGCCATAAACCATTATTACTTAAGTCCGTTTAGCTTAGTAGATTTTTTTATAGTTACAATTGTGTACTTATTCGAATTGACTAACATTTTCTACTATAAGAATGCAATGCCATAATTCATTTTTTTATATACTAGTTGACTTTATATCGTAAGTGTGTAAGGAGCTATAAAGCTTTAGAATGTAATTAAAATGACAATACATAATTAAAATATAACTTTTTAAATGCTAGGGATTGAAACTCATATCACACATGTACTGTGGTTACTTTCGTCAAAGAAAGTTTGGCAATTTTTTAACATTGTTCTCATGTAATTAAATGGAAAATAAGTACGTATAGGACGTTGTTCATCATTTAACTGCCATATAAAATAATTTTTACATTTCAGCTTATTTATGTGATAGGTAAATCCAATTGATCATTAATAACAATTGTAAAATAAAAATAAAATGACCATGTTAACGTTTAGTACAGTTAGTTGTTATATTCAGAAATCGTAGTAACGTTCTTAAATATAGAATCGAGCTCTGAATTAAAATTGGTACCAATTCTAACGTTAGCATTGTGTAAAATGTTTAGATAGTTAGGATTATTGTGCCAAAACTTGATACTTACCTAGTTATAGTTTATTTAAGTTAGTGTTTTATAATGTAGAACTTGTTTATATGTAGAAAGGTTACATAATATTATTTTTATTAAACCTGAAAAAAATAATAATTGTGTTTCATTTTAAATCAAATATATGAAAGATAATCTATAAAGGTACTGTCAGCGTCATATAGATCGTAACAGACAAGATATGCAAATATATACTCGTAGGTACACCAAAAGTAATCAATTATATCACGCTAAACGCCATGGGGGTCACCGGTGACCTCACCCTTCCTCTATCATAGCGCCATAGGGGTCACCGGTGACCTCAACGTATAGTCATATTCAAACTACTTTTTCTCGCCGCCGGCCATACTGACTGTTGCTTTATTCGTACTCCGTGACCGGCACGGCGCTGTAGAACTATACTGCACAGTGGGATTTTTACGATTTTTATTTTTTTCTATCGGCGTTTAACGTGATATACAACAAAAGTCCTCAAATTAATAGATACATTTACCCTGCTCAAATACATCGCTTCTTCTTCTTCTTCTTCTTCTTCTTCTTCTTCTTCCTCTTCCTCTTCTTCCTCTTCCTCTTCTTCCTCTTCCTCTTCTTCCTCTTCCTCTTCTTCCTCTTCCTCTTCTTCCTCTTCCTCTTCTTCCTCTTCCTCTTCTTCCTCTTCCTCTTCTTCCTCTTCCTCCTCTTCCTCTTCCTCCTCTTCCTCTTCTTCCTCTTCCTCTTCTTCCTCTTCCTCTTCCTCCTCTTCTTCCTCTTCCTCTTCCTCCTCTTCTTCCTCTTCCTCCTCTTCTTCCTCTTCCTCCTCTTCTTCCTCTTCCTCCTCTTCTTCCTCTTCCTCCTCTTCTTCCTCTTCCTCCTCTTCTTCCTCTTCCTCCTCTTCTTCTTCTTCCTCCTCTTCTTCTTCTTCCTCCTCTTCTTCTTCTTCCTCCTCTTCTTCTTCTTCCTCCTCTTCTTCTTCTTCCTCCTCTTCTTCTTCTTCCTCCTCTTCTTCTTC